TTGTGTGGAAGGGCCATCCATCTGGACGTTTCTCTATTGATTCAGCCTGGAATGTGTTGCGAGACAAACGAGATGTGAACTCGATTCATCATCTCTTGTGGTTTCCCGGGCATATTCCAAGTCACTCTTTCATTCTCTGGCTCGCTTCTCTTGGTCGGCTTCACACCATGGATCGGCTCAGCTCTCATGGTGTCATTACGTCCTCCTGATGTGTTTTGTGCAGATCAGCTACAGAAACCCATGACCATTTGTTTTTCAGCTGTGACTTTTCCAGTTATGTTTGGCAGGAGGTCACTACCAGGACGCTTTCTACATGGCCTACTCTCTCTTGGCTCCCTCTGCTCTAGTGGGCTAGCTTGCATCTTCAACGAAAAGGTGACTTCAGCCACCTTCTTTCCCGGTTAGTCCTTTCAGCTACAGTTTATTTCCTATGGTTTGAACGGAATAATCGTGTGTTTCGTCAGCATTGTAGCTCTCGCAGAGATATTGTCTTAGCTATTTGTGATCTAGTTCGGGCCAAGATTTTGGGTCTAGCACCTAAGTACGAGATCTCGACTCAGCTACGTGAGATATGGCATCTTCCTAACTAGCTTTGTAAGGAACCTGCATACTCTTTTGTGCCGGTTTGTGGCTTTGTGTTTGTGGTGAGCCTGCATGCTCTTTTATGCCGGTTTGTGGCTTTGTGTTTGTGGTGAGCCTGCGTACTCTTTATGCCGGTTTGTGGCTTTATTATTTATGGCATCTTCTTGCTTTGTGGGGAGCCTGCGTGCTCTTTTTTTTTATGTTCATGACTTTGTGGGTTTTCCCACGGGTTCTTGACTGAGAGTTATCAGTCATCCTCTTGGGATATGCCCCTCGTATTTGTATATTTTTTGTCTTTTATACATACTTACCTTATCCAAAAAAAAAAAAAAAAACTTTTGTATACACCAAGATGTTGGATAATCTATCATATTTGTGTACACCAAAATGCTGGATAATCTATCATATAGTAAACCTATGTATTAAGGGTGAGTTATGGGTTGTTAAATGTTTTGTTCTATTATTATCGCTTTGAATCTTTCATAATTTGCTCTAATAAATTAAATTCCCGTAATTACCCAAAAAAATTAAATCCCCTTTTTTTGTTAGCTTTCAATTGATTCATCATCATGTTAACTAATATTGTTAGAAGTTCAATTTTTTGTATACAATTTCAGTTTTCAACTTGCTTGTCTTTGGAACATGAAATCCCCATGTGTATATGACTTTACATCAAGAAGTTTCAATTTTATATTTACACCATCTGAGTGCTCTTTTAATTAGATCTTTTAGGATAGCTATGAACATGAAATTAATGTGCTAATAGTTTCGACGCTGTTTCCTCAAATTCTGATAACTTGCAGAAGAATTGTGATATCAATTAGAAAAGACCGCCACAATTTCATTACTCAAATGGAAGTTCAATCGTCTGCAAATAGAAACAGCAGGAAAAGACCGCTAAAATTTCATTACTCAAATGGAATGTTGATCAATGCTATAAATCTGTACAACATACCCAGAGACATGCTTGTTTCTAATGGTTGTTTATGGACTGCATCCCATAAGCAGTGCATAAGCTCAAGACGAGTTAAAAGCCGGCTAGGTTCCATGAATTGAGACAGACAATACAAAGCAAAAATCGCAGGCATCTTTCATCAATGTTATCTAGCTACAGATTCTAAACCAGGCCCCATAGAGAATGTTCATTTGGAAATCTAAAGCACGAACCCCATAAATAAGAGAGTGGCTGCAAGTGGCAGGAACTGAAGAATGCTCCAGAGAAACATAGACACAATGAAGAAACAGATTTTTGGGATGATACCAGAAAGAGCGACACTCTTGATATTGTCTTCATGACTAACCTACCTTCTAACTAATCACATTTAGTGAAGACACTCTTGATATTGTCTTAATGACTAACCTACCTTCTAACCAATCACATTTAGTGAAGCCAAGTTATTCCCACATAACATTTTGCAGTACCCAAATTTCCATTTGGATAAGTTTACATCTCAGACAAGAGAAAACTCACTAATAACACAATAATATTTTTATTTATTCATTTTAAAAAAGCAGACTTCGTGCCCTATAGAGAGGAAAAAGTATAATTGGCAATTTCAAATGGAAAATTTATGCAAAGACTATGAATTAAAAAAATTAAAACAGATTTTTTTTTTTTTTTTTTTTTGTAGAATTCAAAATAGATTATCCAGAAAATATCTCACTTATATGTAGCCCAGAACACAATTTTAACAAAACGATAAATTAAATTGACAACATATCAAAAACCCCAACAGTATTCTAGAATGTAAGATTCATGAAAAACCTGAACCAAGCATTTCTGGAAGATTGACATAATCCATATATATTAAACCCATAACATAATCCCAACAAGCAAACACAGTAATTAAAATTAACCAGAAGACAAAATGTTACCTGAATTAAACTACTACCAACATTACAACCTAAAGAAAAACTCTAAGTCTAAAGAATTACAATTGTTTCAATTACACTAATTTCGGTTTGAATTTAGCCTTTATTTTAATAAATAAGTGAAACAACAAATAGTAAAAAACTGAGATTGCACGGAATAGAACTTCCTCTGCCCCAAATCTAAGGAGGGCCCAAAGTATAGGGACCTTTTGAAAGGATCGAATCCAGCAAACTGTTCTCAGAGACAACATTCAGGGGATCATGAAGCCGGCGATTCGATATATAGCGAGGCGTGTCAACATCAAGCTAATGAAGATTCGGCATGGCGGCGTGTCGGACTCTCTATGGTTTCAGTGCTTAGGGTTTGGTTTGTCGGAGTTTTGATGGATTTTGTAATGAAATCTCATCATTTAATGAAGATTTCAGAGCGACAGAGAAGAAGGAAAAAAAAAGAGCAATTTCATCAAACAGAGAGCGATGGAGAAGAAAAAACATAAAAAGCAAAAAAATGAGCGATGGAGAAGAAGAAACCGAAAATGAAAACGATGGAGGGGAAAAAAAAATCATTAATTGATGTGGCAAGTGACGTGGCAACTACCACGTCAGTTTGTAACGATAACTCTTTGCAAATTAACATTTCCCATATATCAACAAATTTTCCCTATCTACGTATTGATTAGACTAGTAATGCTATTGTCATTGACTGTAATATATCAAATTTATACATCGAATAACGTGATAAAATCTTAACAATTAATTGATATTAAATTAAAATTAATCAATAATTAGGATTTTACCACGTCATTTGATACACAAATTTGATGTACTACCATTTGTGACTGTAATATTTTCCATGATTAATTACTTAGCTGCTTATTTGTTTTAATGCTGAATGGACTTAGATTTCGGATATCTATATTCTGTACCTTTCAAAAGAGTTACATAAAAGATACATGGCCAAAAAAATTTATATTCTACAACCAAATTTTTAACAACTAACCAACATTAGTTGCAAATATCCCACATTTAACAACTAAAATGCAATTAGTCAGTAAAAGGGGAATAAAATTTTGAGGGCCATTTATTCTCACTTCTAAAAGATATATAACATATAACCTCCAGTCAAGTTTGTCTGTGAAGGAGTTGCGTAAAATTAGTTTTGAAAGGAGCTAAAGGATCCTGTTATGCCTAAAAAATATAAGGTTGACATAAGACCCAGTCAGCGTGTAAAAGTCAGAACATGGGTATACCTACAGCCTGCTTCTGTCAGAATAGTGGGTGTGCACTAGACCAGTCAGAAGCTGTGGTGATCCCACATGTCCAATCCCTGTGCTAAATCGCGCAAATCACTCTAGAAGATGGGTAATGTGACATAAAAAAGGATTTGTACGGATAATCCCACCAATTCACAGATTCAGTAATCATTAGCTCAATGTATCCCACTATAAATAGAGAGATTATCTTCCGTTTGTGGAATTCGTTCATTTTTACTCTTAATTAGCTACTCTCTCTCTATAATTTATAGCATTCACTTGCTTGTACTATCATTAATAAGTCAGTCAGCTAATACGACCTGACCCCTATCATTAATAAAATAACAGTGGACGTAGGACTTGCTTCCTTAGCATCCGAACCACTTTAAAAACGTTTTTTTCATTGTATTTATTCTCTTTTTCTTGTATTTATGTGTGTCTTCTGAGCCAGTTCAATATTTCATACGTATGTTTCGTTAGTATAAAAATCAGACATCAACATATCGAAAATGCAAATGTTGGTGCATCAAAATTTTTAGAAAATTCATCAGTAGGCTCCAGCTCCAGCACTATTTACTAATGGTTGAGAGACACATGTTTAGGTACTGGCCACCATTATGAGACTTATTTATCAAGCATAATACTACAAGAATATTTTTATATAATATTTTTTATAAAATATAATGTGAAAGATGTTTGACAAATTTTAAATTAAAAAATAAACTTTTAACTGATTATCTTTTACCACGTTATGATATATAAAAAATGTTATATATGCAATATTACTTATTTATTAATGTAATTTTTTTTTCTAAAAAAAGTTGGTAAGCGCGTATGAAACTTTATCGACTAAAATCCGTTTCCAAAATAAATAAATAAAATAAAGGGTCTTCTTTAGCTATGTAATTGGAGGGAAATTTCATTTAACTTTTTCTTCTTTTTATTTTTTTTCTTAAACTTTAGCCGAATTCTAGTTCAAACATTAGCAGATTTTGGGACGTCATGGATTGATATGAGAGCATATTCATTAAACCTACTTGGGCAGTTGATGTTTGACTTTGGTGGGGGCGGGCCGATCACAAAGCAACCCACAATAATTAACTTTCGTTACTGTTCATATTCAACTCTTTGCATCACACCCATCACCACCACCTCCTTCTAAAATTTTCTCACTCCAACCATACAGCACTTCTTTTCATTGAGAAAATATATATCAATTAAATTCCCAACTTATTAATTAATTGAAGCACTGTAAAAATAACTTTTGCACCCTTTTTCATGTAAACAGAGAGGAAGAGACGAGTTTAAAAGCAATAAGAAATTTTATACATAAATTACAAAGGTGGATTCCTTTTTTTCACCACGTGAAAACCATTGATATAGCATTACAATCATATTCTATACACACACGAAGTTCCAATAGCTATGTGACAGGCATAGTCACATGATCAGGCATCTTCTTCTTCTTCTGTGAGTGAAGTACTGAAGGCCAGCTAAATTTTCTGATCAAGAACAGTCATAATTAACCACAAACAACTTTAATTATTTGACACCTACCAAATACAAAATTAATTAATGTCTAATTTTGGAGAGAAATGGTGGATCACCGACTAATGAAGGCCTTGATATGGGCAATCATTTCACTGGTTCGAGTTTGAGATAGCTGAGACTTACTCAGAATCTGAAATGCATGTCCTACGCCTTTATACATCACATGCTCAACCCTTTTACCCGCTCTAGCCAAGGCACCACAAAACTCCAGGTTTATGTCTTTCAATATGTCCATCTCTGATATGCACACCATGCTCGGCAAAAGCCTCAGATCTTCTAGCTTTATCGACCCCTTTGCTGTCGGATTGCACCATGGATGGTCACGGTTAGACCCACATGGCAACGCTAGTCGCCAATATGTATCAGAGGCTGCCAAGTTCAGCGCCGATCGAGGTGGTTGTGTCAAATGCTTTTCGGAATTTGTACGTGCCTCTCCTCCGAAAAATGGTTGAATTAAAATAGTACCCTTGAGAGTTAAAGGCTTTAAGACTGTTGTTGGATCACACACATTGTTAGAACCGAGCCTCGTGGCTACACTGTGGGCTATATTAGCACCAGCACTATCACCGGCTAAGAAAATTCCCGAAAAGTTGCATCTTTTAGACCACCAGTAACCCGTTGCAGATAGCGCCGCTTGTTTTAGCCACATGAAAGCCTTGAATCCATCTTCATAAGCGGCGGGGAGAGGATTTTCTGGGGCTAATCGATAATTTACTGACATGATTATGCACTCTGCTCTTTTTGCTAGCTTAGATAAGAACTCATGGTAACAACTCCAGGCAGCTGAGCCAACACAAAATCCACCGCCATGGAAGTAGACGATTAAAGGGAGCTTTTTGTGGCATACTGGAACATAGAAACGTGCCCATATGTTTGTGAACTTGTCAATTTCTATATCTCCTGAATTGACACCGAGTTCCGGAGGCAATGCAGTTGTGACACATGGAACAATTTGAAGTCTCTCCACATGTCCATCCTTGTGGACTTTAATAAGCCCTTCAATCTCTTCTATAACAGATCCATGCTCATTAGGATCTCTATGCATTTCTATGCTTAAACTTGGATCCAGAGTAGCTGCAGTCATTCTTCTTTTTCTTTTATAATGTGAATGCAAAAGAGAAAGAACACAGAAATTTGAAACTATCGTATGTAAGCGCTTGTCCCTTTGCGTTGAGGAGACCAACTTATACATACAAAAATAGTATATTTTTGTAGGGGCAACAAAGTTGAAGATTAGACCATCCTATCTTGTCTTGCCAAATGGCCAACTGGGTATTTGCCACATGTCTTTGACACAATCAACCAAAAAGTGGATATGGGGAGAATGTCTTGTCTATATAAAGTATATTGTTAAATTAATAAAAAATTAATCTTTCACTTTCATACATGGGAATTGCCGAATTGGGAGGTGGGTTACTGTTGCCTATGCGTGCACCTATAAAACAATTCTAGAAAGCCGTTTGGTGTGTTTTCAAAAGAAATTGATTAATTAAATATGGGGTACTACCAATTTCTTCCCCAGAGGTTTACTGATAAACGAAAATGCTACCAACAGTTACAAAAACCCTAGAAACGTCCCCTGAGCTTTGAGAAAGAATGTAGGGGTGGGATAAATAATCCAAAAACCAAACCAAACCGAACCGAACCAAAAATTAGATTTTTTTTTTACAAACTAGTTCGGTTTTCGGTTTGTGAAATTCAAAAAACCGGAAAACCGATTCGGTTTAAAAAAAATTTCAAACCGCTTTTACCTTAAATATAAAAGCAAAAAAATTATTATATATAAAATAATAAATATTTGAATTTAGGGACTTAAATGAAACATTGAAGAATTTTAAGGATTAAAGGATAATTTGAAAACCGGTTAACCGGTAATCGAACCAAAAATTCAGTTCGGTTTATATTCCGTTTTCAATTGAAACTGGTCCGATTTTTGGTTTGGATTTTCTCTAAACCAAAAAACCGGTTCGGTTAACCAAATTGTCCCACCTCTAAAAGAATAAAGTGGTTTCAAACCACCCTACAAAGTACTTGTCCCCCAGATATTTGATCCTTAAAATTTTTGTTAATTAATTTCAGGACTCTTTTTTTCATAACCTAGCAAATATAACGTTAAAATTCCAGGGGAGGCTTTTTATCAATTTTCAAAGCTGAGGGGAGGTTTCGGGATTTTTGTAATAGTTGGCGGCATTCAAGTTGTTCAGTAAACCTCAGGGAGGAAAGTGATAATACCCAATTAAATATATATCATTTTAGTTAACAGGAACGTCTGCTTTATTAAATTATTAAAATAAACATTAATCAGCATGTCAAACGATTACAATTAGAGCACATTAATTCCTCGTTTTAACTCATGATGATTGTGTAACACGAAGTTTGAATCAGATAGTGCCGTTCGTATGAAAAATATATCCACACTTCTACCAATACAGCTTGACCACGTTGGCACTTTACTTTTGAAAATTCATGAACAATATTGTTAGACTGACGTCATCTAACGTCAGCAAATACTAATTAGAATTCAAGAAGGGTTTGCGTTGTCCAAGAGCTACCACATCGCTATATGATAGGAAGAATATGCTTGTCATCAACTTGGTAGATTTAGGTTTTATCTATGAGTGATAGAAGGTCGCATACTTATCTAAACTCCAGGTAATTTAAGGATATCTCCTAAGTTATCAGTCAATGGAAGGTAAGGCAGAACTTGCATGACACCTATCCACTTGCATATTTGTAATCATTACCTTGAATTCTTCTACTATAAATAGAGGACTCCCCCTCTCATTTTCAAGATTTTGATCTTAAAACCTCATTCTGATTTTAATATTTATTTCAGAGTAAAAATAAACTACGAGAAAGAAAATAACTTATTATTCTCTCTAAATATTAAGTTATTGTACATCTGTTCGTTGTTCATTATATGCGACCTCTTGTAATCTCTAATATATAAGAGAAACAGTAGATATAGGATTCGTTTTGAGTATCCGAACAACTTTAAAAAACTATCTTTTATTTATTATTTAGTTTTTGTATTCAATTATCTTAATTATTCACATATAATTTTAAAAAACGGCTTTACATTTTATAAATACGAGTTATTGATGTCAAAATCAAGCATCAATAAATATTAACCCGTTAATTCCCACCATCACCTCATTATCAAAAGGTCCACGATCCCACTATAATTGGTAGCTTTTAAAACCACAAAAGTGTAAGTTCTGGATTCATCCAATTGAGCATATAGACAAATCCAGCTATTAAAGAACACCTGAAAGTGCCAAATTAAGACCAATTAGAGTGAATGTTTAGTTTGAAGATCAAAGATGTGATGTTTGAAAGCACTATAGTTTGAGGGTCAAAATTGATATATATTTGCAGCTAGCTAACCCATTATCATATATCAGTAGTTTAAAGTATAAACAGTGTGATGACATTCTTGACAATTCGACACCATTGACTAAAATCTAGGCTGCCTCCCATTAACGTCTTTTCAAGGAAGCTGTTGGAGAGAATTTTCGTCCAGCCGTCTGTTATTTGAAGACTATTATGAACTGTTTCTTCCGACTGGATCTGAATATATGTGGACTAGAATTGGGCATGTCGTCAAGTTAACTGATAATAATGATAACCTTTCATTAGGAGTCCTGGGCCTTGTCAATTCACATTCAATGTATATAAGTTCAATAATTGGGATTCGGTATAATGTAATCTCAAAAGTAAGCGCAATATCTTTTGTTACTATCGCTGATCATGTGAGAGAGACTTTCGGTAGCTTTAAAGAGTATTGTTAGGTATATATTCTAATCTCGTCAACTTCGATGTCATTGGTTAGTTTAAAAATAGATAGATTAAACTCATTCAAGTAGATGGAACCTATTTTATAAACTAATTAATGATAAATTATCATATTGTGAGGTTAGATTATAGACCTAGTATTACTCTATACGAGCATAAAAATATGTTTTGTTAGTTAATTAGTAGTTACAGCCCATTGTTTTGTAATTGTAATCCAATCTTGACAGTTATCTGATTATGTGAAAGTATTAATGGACAAAGAATATGCTCCTAAGAGGTTTTGAAATATATGGGCATGTTTGGTAAGTTAGTTGGAAAAATATTATTATAAAAACTATCTGAATATGATAGGATAACTGATAAGATTAAATAGAAGAGTTGAATAAAATGCTAATAATTGTCTGGTACATATTTTGAAAACATTTTCTGAAAGCATTTGGATTATTCAACCCCCAATATTTGTTAATTTAGCTAAATAACCCCCACAATAAAACTTTAAAAATTAACAAAAACACCGCCATAATAAAACTTTAAAAATTAATAAATACACCCTAAAAAAAGCCATCAATGACAGCAGAAACCTGACCATCGTTAATAGCCAATAGATTTGGTCGTAGATCTGGTTGAAAACGACAAGATCGACGGTCGAGGGTGATTGTTGGTGGTTGATAGTGGCTTGGGTGTGTGGGAGTATTTTTTTTAATTTATAAATTTTTTATTATGAAATGTAATTATTTTTAGTTAAATAAAGTTAGAAAGGTGTTAGGATAAGATGATAGAAAACCAGTCTTAGACTCTTTTTTATTTCCAGTACAAAAAATCTTATTTGCAACACTGAAACAAAAAAGGGCATATGTCGGGGAAAAGTCATGGAAGACAGTTGCTAGAAGGGGCTAACAATAAATTATTACTTCAAGGCCTCAAAAGTTATGTTCTACTCATAATATAATTTAATTTGAGGTGAAAGAATAAAGAGCTCTGTTAGCAACTCAAACTCATCTTACAATCATTTCTCTTCACTTCCGAATAAAAATTAAAATAAATTATATGTTTATGTCAAACGAATCTTGCTTCCTTCAACTTCAGCTAATCGTTGCTGCCTTGCCATGTTCCCATGCCACCCTAATCATTTTAAAACCAGCAAATTTCAAGTTAAAAATATAGAGATAAAAGCGATCATAGAAGATAGAAAGAAACAGAAGAGACCTATAGACATGTCAAAGCCATGATGCATGAGCTCTCTATACTCTTGACACAAAGCACATTCCTCACAACAACAATGGACGCAGCAATCTGTGCAAGGCCTCTCTTCCAAGAAGTACTGTCCCCTCAATTTTGATCGATAAAAGCACGAATACAAGCACAAGCATCCCGTCAGGCACAATATTAAAGTGTATAGCGTTCCACTTACTCCACATGCTGCATGCAACAACTTCATATCATCATCATCTTCAAAATTATATTACATAATTAAATTTCAGTTCACTATTCTCAAACTTACGGGTCGACCCTCTATCAACAATTTCTGCAATTCGTCCAAAAGCAACACAAGGACACCAGCATGTTAAGCAACCTGTATAAACATAATCATTATACATACTTCAATTAGAAATTTACTCAATATGTCACGTTGAGACTCCATTTAGTTTTTTTTTTTAACCCTATATTAAAATACTTTCATGGGTACATTCATTGCAGTATCATCACCAGCAATGTTGATTTGAAAACAATAATTGGATTGATTTCAAATCATGCAATATTGTAACGAGTAACCAATTTATTATAAAAAAAAAAAAGCATTGAGCAAAACGTACAAGTGCTAACATCATCACAACAATCACAGAGACCAGTGGACCAAGGAAGTGGGCCGAAAGAATTGGAGTTGGGAGCGGTTGAACCACTACTATTTGTTTGATTTCTTTCATTGACTTGATCAGTAGTTGGTTCAGGGAAAGTGAATGGTACTGGTGGTGGGTGGGGATACGGTGGCGCTGTTGGTGGCAGACATGGTGATTCTTTTTCAAAATCAACTGAAATTGAGGGGTACATTGTGTTCGTTTGAGAGAGAGAGAGCGTGGTCTATAGGGAATGAAGAAGAAATTTGGATTTTAAGTGGGAACAAGGCCAAGGAACGTGTCTCTTCAAGAAACGGCAGTTGGGCCAACCGTTTTATCCATCATATATATCTCGATCTTTTGGGTTTAAGATACTTCAAGGTAAGTTTAAAAAGAGACGTCATTTGATTTGAAAGAAACAATTGATTGAATTTCAATTAAAATACTGACTAAAACTTGCAAGAAGAAATACAATTTCTTTTCCAATAGCATTGGGTCATGAATGTGGACATGTTTTGGATGTAATTCAATTGGTGATGTTATTGTAGTACTACATCAAATTATAAAACTAACCTCATAGAAATTATAAAATTCAAACTATGTTAATTATTATTATTTAATAAAAATAATAGTATTAAATTATTATTGTAATTTATTGTAAACTATTTTATGAATTAAAATAATAAAGTTAGGTAATTATGCTTGTCACAATGGAAACAAATTAACCACTGCATATATCTATTTTAAAAGTAAAATTTATATATATATATAAAAAAAAAACAATATTTTTTAAAAGTTTATTATTTCGAATAAAGTCATAAAGGAACTTGAAATTATAACATCTGAAATTGGACTAATTGAATTTTCAAAATTATATATTTAACTTCATTCCATTCCATGTCATCCAAACAACAAATTGTAAAACAATATTTATATTTATTTATATCATCACACTAATATGGGAAGATTAAAATACAATAAAGTGTATGACTATAAATCATTTTTTATTAACGAATGTCTATTTATAATAAATGTAAGTTAAACCTTTTTTTTTTTTTTTTTTTTTTTAATTTGGATACTTTAAAAATTAGCAATAAGGTTTCAAACTATTTTTGTGATCAACATCGACGATGGATGTATCGTTAACATTGATCGAATGGATCATTACATGGTGATCCTAACAATATTAGTTATCATATTGAGACTCTTCGATGTATTACTCAAAAGGTTATGAGTTGGAGTCCCTCTTCAGTTGCTAATAGAGATAACCATTAGAGCTCTTACTCAGCGGATAGTTTCAGAGTCCTGAGAGATTAGTTGAGGTACGCGTAAGTTGATTCGGACACTCCTGGTCATCAATATATATATGTTTTAGGGATAAAAATGTGGCCTCTATGCATCAATCCTCCCTGTAATATTGATGAGGAATGTATGTATGAGCTGATGCGAGTGGACTTTTTATTATATTTTCATTTGTTAATTAGTTTGGTAAACAAGTCATAGTTTAATGATAGCTACTTAATTAGAACTTTATTAATGTTTGAATGTGTGCATACATCGTTGCCTTTCTTACCACGTTAGATCTCCAAATAAATATGTATTATTCATGTTATGCCTAAAAAATACGAGGGCTGACGTCATGTCCATTTAGCCCACAAAAGTCAGATTATTGAAACAACCACCGCCTGCGTTCGTCGGGATAGTGGGTGCGCGTCAGACTAGTCAAGAGCTGTGATGCTCCCATGTGTCCAATCCCTGCTCTAAATCGCGCAAATCACTCTGGAAGGTGGGCAATGTGACATAAAGAAGGATTTGCACGGATAATCCCACCAACTTACAGATTTAGTGATCATTACCTCAAGGCATCCCACTATAAAATGGGAGCTCCTCTCTCATTAAGGGGATTGGCATATTTTACGCTTGATTAATTATTCTCTCTTTTCCTAGAATTCTCAGCATTAGATACCTTGTAACATTATTGTAAAGTCAGTCAGCTAAAAGCGACCTGACCTCTATCATCTATATAAGCATCAGTGGACGTAGGACTTGCTATCTTAGCATCCGAACCACTTTAAAAACTATCCCCATTGCATTTACTATCTCTTTATCCGTTACGTTCATGTGTGTCTTCTGGGTCCGCACAGCATTTCACACGTGCGTTTCGTTGGTGCAAAAAACGCGCATCAACAGTTTGGCATAGAAGGAGGCCTAATTTAGTGTTCATCCTTCATCAGGAGAATCTCCAACTTACCAGTCCTACAGCAATGAATCCCGCCAACCAGAGCATCAACAGTTTGGCGCATCAACAGTTTGCGCTAGAAGGAGGGCCTGATTTAGTGTTCACTTCACAGGAGAATCTCCAACTACCAATCCTACAGCAATGAATGGCCCCAAACCAGAGCATGAGCAAACCAACCAGGGCACTGCCCCCCCCCCCCCCCCCCCCCCCAAAGTTCAAGGGGATGCTTCTTCCAAAATACCTTCAGCCCCACAAAATGCAGTGGGAGATATCCCGTCAAGTTCACAGCTTGACCCCGCTATAAGAAGCTACTTGGAGAGGTTTGACAATACTCTCTAGACGGTCAACCAAAGGTTGGACCGCTTGGACCAAGACGCGCCATCTAAGTTAGCTGCGACAGTGCAATCGCCAAAAATGCCTGTAGGTCACGCGAAAGCGCGGCAAAGGGAGATAGCCCGTGCCGCGAGTACTGCAGCGCGTAGACGAAAGGGTAAGCAAGTGGCAAAAAGCAAGCCCACGGGCTGCAAAGGGCCAGCCAACACCGACCGCGTCCCAAGCAGAATACCAGTCTTTTTGAGACTCGGTGAAAAGACGCAGCCCGAGCTGTCCCATGCCATGTTGTAGGTGCATACCCATAAAAGTGCTGGACGGGGCGATTCTTATCACCGCCAGCAAAGCAATCCTGATCATCATCGTGCGAAAGGGTCCCACACTTCGCGAGGCGGTTCTTACCACCGTGAAGGTTGTGAAAATACCCCGTACCTTTCATCGCCATCACACGCCTCTAGTCAGCGTGTGTCAAGAGTGGCTGGAACTGCCGGCCGAGGCAAAGAGGAACCCGACCTCCAGACATTCCTCAATTGTAACCGCGAGAATCAAACTCGCATGGGTGAAAGTAACCCCTAAGCGGCTCCATTGCCGCAGATTGAGGAGCTATAGCGAGCTCTTGATAGACTAAGAGCTCAGTAAAATGAGCAGGGGCAGGTCGCATCTGGGTCCCCCTTCTCTCCCGAAGTGTTAGCCGCTCCACTCCCGTCAGGATTCAGGATACCCGACATGAGGGCGTTTGATGGAAATTCTGATCCGTAAGATCATCTATATGAATTTAACGACCTGATTGAGCTTCACCAGGTCTCAGATTTGGTAAAATGCCACTGTTTGGCAGTGACGCTGACCTCCCATGCCAAATGATGGTTCAGGTCGCTCCCAGCGGGGTCGATAAGTTCGTGGCCTCAGATGAGCGCGACGTTCCTAAGGCATTTTCAAGCGAATCGGAAGTTTTCGATGCCTTTGAGCTACCTTAGCAATATAAGGCAAGAAATGGATGAATCCCTCCAGTCTTACATTGACCGTTTCCATAGAGAACTCAACAAGGTGGCTCATACTCCCGAAGAGTCTGTTTGGACTCTCATCATAGCCGGGGTTTGCCCACAAATCGACCTGTGGAAAGAATTACAAGCTAAGGACGATGTCTCCCTCATAGGATTCTACAACCTTGCGGAGAAATACCTCCGAATAGAAAATTCGTTGGCGGCACTCTACCGTTGCGACCCCGGTGCATCGAGCAGTGTGTCTAGTCGAGGGAAAGTAGGAGAGCTAATCGTAGAGGGGATGCTGATGATCAGCGAAAAGGGAAGAAACCCTACTACGAGAACAAAAAATCCTATGCTCCTGTTCCTTGTCGCGACCGCGACAGAATTCAATATACTCCACTAAATGTGTTTGTATCGGCCATTCTTGATAAATCCGAGGAGACCAATCTGCTTGGTGAGCCAGAACCCATGAAAACTCCTGCGACAGCCAGAAATAACAAAAAATACTGTCGCTTCCATCGGGACAATGGGCATCATACCGATGAGTGCCGAGCTCTAAAACAAGCAATCGAAGAGCTCATCAAGAAAGGGCACTTCAAGGAGTATATTGATGACTCTACTCCCGCAAAAGAGAAGAGCCAAGGAGAAAGCGTCGTGATCGTAGACGGTATAGTAGCGTTAACATAATCTTTGGAGGACCGCACCTCAGGGAAACACGCGGCGTGCGCAGGAAAGTTACGCTCGCAAAGTCATCACGACCCGATCAGGTGGATGAACACATCACAGTGACCATAAAAGGCTTGAAAGGAAGAGTCGATCGCCTTCTACGAGAAGGAGGCAGTTCGTTTGCATCATCCTCACGATGACGCCCTTGTTATCACGCCCCTCATAGGGCACTATAACGTCCGCAGAATGGTCGTGGATAATGAAAACGCTGTGAACATTCTATTCCAGACCACTTTCGAAAGAATGAACTTGGACGAGGCCGACCTGAAGCCTGCCTCGATCCCTCTTTACGGCTTTACAGGGGATCACCTGATCCCCAAAGGAACGATCCAGCTCCCAATCACGCTGGGTGACTACGACGAGGTGACTAAGGTTACCGAATTCTTAGTTGTGGATTGCCCATCGGCCTTTAATGGAATCCTGGGGCGAGCTCTATTGAGAAGCTTCAAGGCGGTTGCTTCCATATACCATCTCAAGATGAAGTTCCCCACCCCAACAGGGATAGGGGAAGTGAACGGATCGCAAAGCGCATCTCGCGATTGCTACATAAAAGCGGTGCAGATGGCGTGTGAAGGAAAGGGCATTTCGCGATGTGCGCCCCGATAGGCTATGACGATCTGCCGGATCGAGTCACAGCCTAGCCCAGCAGAGGATAATATAGATCCTCGAATTCAGGAAACCCCTCCCAGCGGCCCGATTGGGGATTTGTCTGAGGTATCGGTCACCCGAAAGAGCCGAGCCAAGTGTTAAGGATTGGGAGCAGTCTCAACCCCCAGCTCGCGTCCGAACCGATAAGCTTCCTGATAGAAAACATCAATGTGTTTGCCTGGTCACACACAGATATGGTCTGGATCAGCCCGGACATTATTTGCCATGCGTTAAACATCGACAGCGAAGCCAAGCCAATTTGCCAGAAAAGAAGAGCAATAGATCCGG